GCTGAGAAGACAGATCCTGCAAGCCAGCCTTCAAACACGAATTTTGTTACTGCGGGTGCGTCGAAAAGGGTCCTTTGCCATCATGGCAGCATGAAAAGCAAACCTACTGCACAGAATCTAAGCATGGTGATTCGGGCTGTTTCTCTGTAAGTTTCGGCAAGCTATCACGCATCTTACCATTTTCATCTCAGAATCAGCATCACGGCATCGCCAGCGTCGGCAACTTGGGGGGTGATGCTGTCAAGCACCTGAAGGCTTCACGAGGCAATACATTCCGTGCATATGTTCCATGGGGCTGCCCGAACTTCTGCTGGCAAAACTTGGAGGGCCACGTTGACTAGAAACAGTCAAGCCGCGAAACACGCTGTGGGCACAGCAACACGAATAGCCGGGACATCGTCAGGGTCTTCGCCCGAAATGGAGGCCTTCAAGGATTGGATTTGGGAGCTACTGAAGGGATGGCGTCCAGAATGCATCAAGGCACCATGTGAGCGTTGAACTTCTGCGCATAATCTGCTACGTCTTGGACCTCCTTGACTACTTCCTTCACCTGCGCTATCCCCGCACCCATGCCAAAATGAGCTGACTTTGTAAAGAGGGCTCAAAGACGTGCCTTTTCAATATCACGGTCCCGTTTTGTCAGTGGCACCTGCAAAGCAGGTTTGGCAGTCCTGCGCAGGCCTTGCCTTCACAACAGGCCTGCAATAGACCCCAGAATTCATGGACTTCGCCGTCACTGCTGGGCGCCCAAATCTTGGTGGACCACGCTCGCCAGGGCCTGGATAACTAGACGACTTTGCTGCCAATGTGGTGAGATGGGAAGGAAGTGAAGCCTCGCGAACCTGGGTTCCGAGGGCCACAGGCTGTCATTCCCGGTCCCTGGAGCACGTGCAGCCCAGTGAGCAGCTCGCTCCTCAATATGATGTTCATGCTGCAAAGCTTAGCGTACTCAAGCAACTCCTGGCGCAAAGCGATGGGACTCCATGCGTGTACCTTTCCATATTTCAGATCCATGTTCATTTGAGTGTAGCATCACAGGCTCGTCTCATTCATGGACATCACGGGCCGCGCAGCCTTCGCAATGGCGGACAAAGCGAGCTCTTGGCCTCTTGCGAGGATTGTACTCGGCGCAGGATAGCTGCCGCTCATTCGAATCATTGGAGCGTGCGTGCAGTCTTTTTTCAGGCGCGAAACCTTGGCCCGTTGGGCGGTGGGCGTGTCTTGCATGGTATTGCGCACATGTCCACTGGGCCTCGTCTAGAAGTCTAATCTCTGCATCATCTAATGTTCGCTGCTCACGTCGCTGGCTAGGGATCATGGTCTGACAATTCTCGAGGACTTGCCTGCAGGTAAGATCCGCGTACCCGCGACTACAACCCAGGAGCAGTCCCTTCCAGGGATGCCAGGCTGTCAAGCCCCATTTGGCGGCAGAGTGTTCATGTCATAGGCGTGGGCACCGGCAGTATCTTTCAAACATATTAACTCATCGCCAGTGCAACGTCTCCTAGCTTAGTTGTGTTCAATACTCTGCGCCGGTCGTCAACTGGTAACGGTTCTGCTGTGCTTCCAAGCTGTCTGCAATTTCAATCAAATTCATAGGTGAGGTGCGCTTGGCCATGTGCTCTATCTGGACGTCTTTGCCAAGCCGCAAGAATGTTATTCGATATGCTAGCTCCCCGCATGAGCGCATGGCTCGCCTCGAATCACTGGATTGGCTCTAAAATCGCTTTTCCAGACTTCAGGATTCTCATAATCTTCGCACTGCCTGCATGGTGCCAGATTACACCTGGGATCTGTATGTTACTAGGGAAGTCAAAAATGAATGGAGAGCCATTGAGCCATGATGCCAGGCAGTTGGGGTCCAAAAAGTCTGATGTCTGGAAGGCAACTCACGGCCTGGCCTGCTTGGAAAGGCAGCTTCACCGAGGCCTGGCATTCGTCCTTGAAGGCAAATACAACCTTCAACGCCACCTGAAGCTCCTGCCGCAAGCGAGACGTGGAGATGACTGCAAGTTGGTGTGAAGCTGTCATAGTAGACAGTAGACAGGAGCCTGACTGGAAGCATCACTGTCTCCTCTGCCTGCCAGCTGCTGTTTGTAACATACTAATCCGTCGGGACCTCAGGCTGTGGGCGCCTTGAGCCAAGACTTTTAACTGTACCCTACCACTTCCCCCTTCTTCCTTGATGCCGCCTGCTAGCAAAAGATGACCGTTTGTTTCTTGGCGGGTAGCCGTGGCCGCGCGTGGCCGTGTCGGAAGGCAACTGCGGGTGGCTCCGTGAATGGGCTGCTGTGCTCTGAGGGCTCGGCCTTTGTCTTCCCTCACATTTCCCGATTGCGTTGCCTTGCCTCCTCCTCGCTTTGCCCTTGCTGTGACCTCCCTTCTCAGCCGATGACGGCTTCGACGCGTGTGTGCGTGTAGGTTCGCAAGTCTTTTGCTGAAGCGCTGGCGTTAACATGATCAACTGCAAAGCCGAACCAAACAACATATCACAAGTGGCCTCCTGCTGCTCTTGCGCGCCGCTGCTCTATCAGAAGCAAACTTAGTGTTGGCGAGCTTGTGCGGAGGTGAAGCTGCAGGTATGTGAAGTTGTGAGGCGGCTTGCGTGTGAGGCTGATCTGTAACTGAGCGCTCGACTCGCAGGGCAGGAACTGGATCATCAAACATGTTGGAGCATTGCTCTGAAGCAGCAGACACGCCTTGCTGCAGCTTGCCACGATGCTGCCCATACGTGCAGGATCACCTGGCTGGTGCACGTTGCAGTGCCAAAGCTGGCTTTGTGCAAGAGCCTGCCAGCTGCAAGAGAGGCCTCGGGGCCTAGGGCCTAGGGATGCTGCAGGCCAAAATGTTCCCGCCAACAGGACTTACATCACATGGCAATCAACTTATTGCATTGGAGCCTTGCTATGCTCGGCTTCCATGTTGGCATTGCCCTCTCTCTAGTGGGGTTGTGCCGCTGAAAGTAGGATCTGAAATTCCAGCGTAAGCAGGCTTCCAGTTTCTGCAGGATCAGAGACAATTATTGGAACACTTTGTCCTCCGCCATCACTTGAAGCTTACGCCACAACTTTCTGCGTTTTAATGGGGCCGGGTGACATTGCGCCCCGAGCAAGCGTGAGGTGAAACAGTTGAAGTAAACGGCTGTGCTGCTGCTGCAGCTCCTGATAACGAGCAAACGTGAGGTCCATCTCAGACTTCACTCTGCCAGCAGCAGCCTGGAGCTCTGGCGCTTGCTGTGCAATACTGTTGTACAGCTTTGCAACCGTCTCTCGACCTCTTAGATGCTTCTCCGTCTTTACACGGCCTTCCTCGAGAAACTTCATAAGAGTCTGCGATTTCTTTTTGAGCTGAGCCGGCAAATAGCAAGCTTCTCTCAAAGCCAAGGCCTCCTTATGTAGCTCCACCAGTTCCTGGCGCTCAGAACTCATCTGCTGCTCTGTCCGCAGCCTTTCCTCTGCTAGCCGATGTCGCTTTTCTTCAGCTAAGTCGAAGCGCCCCCTTAGCTCCTGAAGGTGATTCTCTCGCCCTTGGAGAGCTCGCAAGACGTTCTGCAACTCCACCTTCAGATTTGACAGGTACCATTCATTTACTTGCGTCCTGCGCCGGAGTGCCATTAGCTTGGCCTCATTTTGCCGCATCTCCTTGGCCTGGCAGTGGATACGAGCTGCCGTCGCCCTTGAGTGTGAACGACGACGTACCGAGCCTCCTGGTGAAGTTCGGGTCCCGCTTGCTCGACTGTAAGGAGTTCCGTCTTCCAACAGATCCATGGCGGTTGCATCTCTGTGCGCCAGCAAAGCATTCTCCTCCTGCAGCTGCCTTTGCTCTTCCGACAACTGGTCAATTTCTGCTTCATACCTTTCTGCAAGCTCTTCTGCTTTTGGCTGGCGGTCATTGTAGCGCTCGAGCAAAGCCCGCAAACGCAGGCGCTCAAGCTGAGCATCGTGCAGTAGTATTTCACCTGCTGCTTCTTGCTCTTCGCCGGCAGACTGCAGTGACTGCAATCTTGCGTAACTTGCATCCTCAGCTGACTCAGCTTCCAAGCTCCCCGCCAGGACGCCCGAAGCGATCATCCCAAGAACAAGCGCAAGCCAGGTGAGCAATTCAACACTCGATGAACTAACGAATCCAAACCTTCCCCTATTGCAACAGTGTGTGTGTGTGTGTATGTGGTGTGCTGAGCATCTGAACACGGAACAACCTCTTCTCATGAGATGCCTTCACGTCTGAGAACTTGTGGCGCGTGCGGTTGAGTCGTGTCTCCACGAGGGCGACTAGAGACGCAGTATCTAGTACACACAGTCTTCTGGCCATCCTGCCACGAAACGCCAATGCATCTTTTGCACCTTCTCGCAATGTGTCTCTGCACGCTGCCGTTTGCAGTGGGCAGGAGATGGAGATGACGACAATGCCTGGGTCGGTGCTCTATCTCTCCAAGGCATGGCACAGAACATGCAGACGACTCTCTGCCACCACACGCATGGCAACTTGCTGGGGCACAGCTTGTTGCTGCATCAGCTTTGTAAAGGCTTTCTCCTGGTGCTGGAGCTGCTTCTGGAACTTTACGATTGCCTTGCCATAGATCAAGCATCAGCTCTATCTCAAGTCTTCTTTTTCTCTTGATAGACATTGTTCCTAGCCATGATGGAGGGCTTTCATCAGGGGTCTAGACATGCACCTGTGAGCTCCCGTTTGGCATGCGATGCACCGTAGAAATCAATGAGTAACCCTCATGTTGGCTTGTGTGCTAGTATCTGCTCCGCAAGCTTCGGGGTGAAACGCCAGGAATCTAAAAATGCCTTGGCGGCGGAGCAAGACATCCTGGCTTCACTTGGGTTTGGGCAAGGCCCAGGCGACTGATTTGTAACCGGCGCTTCTGCTAGTCTTGCGTGAATCTGGTCGGGGGGTTCCTTGCCAGCAAGCAGTCAGAAACTAGCAGCCTAAAGCCAACTGCTACAGACGTCAACCTGCACAAGAACACTGCTGGAGCTGCAATTGGCAAGTCAGTTGCAAGATTCCCAACATAATTTTGGAAGACATGCGTAACATGATGCGGCATCAGGTGCTTCTGCAACCTCATCCGCTCGGTCTTCATGTATGTAATGTCCCGGGTGCGGGATCACTTCCTTTGAAGTTGCATGGGCTTCGGACCCTCTGCCAGAACTAGTGCTCAAACAGCCGTCAGCTGCAGCTGAGACTCCAAGCGGAAACGGCCTGAGTTCAAAGTGAACTGCAAAGACATTCCTGATCTCATGGCCGATGACATGTTTCTTCAACTTCTGACTCTGCAAAGCGACCTTGCATATGTGCAGCCTCCAGAGCTGCATCCATTCGGTCCACTGATCCCACCAAGAGAAGTTTCGGCACTGGCAAGCTCACAAAAAGGGAGCTGACACCGTCGAACCACTCAGGCCAACAGCCACTGGCCTGCAAAGAGGTGCATGGCTGTACGAAGTCTGGATGCCTATGTCAAGTAGACAACTAAAGACTAAGAAGCACGGCCTTTGACACATCTGTGATCCAGGACCACAGTAACTCTCCGTCAGCCTGCTTGCAAAACCCAGAATGCAAAACCCAAAATTCAGCTCTTCGTCACCGGTGCCTCGCAGTGTAGTCGGAGTGGAATATTCTCTTTCGCTGCCTGTGGGTCTGTGAGCATTCCCGAAGACAAAGACCATGAAATTGCATCCTGCGCGCTGAACAGGAAGGAATTCGCATTAGTTCTAAAGGAAAATGATCTCCTCCAAGCTTTTGAAGTTGCGAGGTCTGGCCTGCTTCCAGCTGCATCTAGGCTCTGGCAGAACACACTGGTGTAAGTTTGGACACGGTTTGGGCAGCTCTGGGCCTGCATCCACGCAATGCTCCGCGGAATAGTTTCTGCAGCCGTTCCCTCCACTGCCTCAAGCAGAACCACGGCCCGCCTGAAGCCCAAGCGCATAAAGCAGAGTCTTCAGCTTCTGAGATGGAAGTTGCTGCATAGAGGCACTGGAAGTGGAGGCTTTGATTTGAAGGCCTGCGCTTTCAGTGGCACGGCTGCTACGTTGAACATGCCGCTTCACCACCATGCTGCTTGTATCCCATGTAACCCCCCTTGGGCAAGAACGACAGGAAACGCGAAGCTGTCCCCAACCTCCCTGCCCTTGTGATCGTACACTTCTTCCAGACCGCTGGAACAATTTCTTCCCTTCCAGCTTCCAGGTGACCCTAACCTTTCATAGTATAGATGTTGGGGCCAGGCATTTTTGCACCGTGAAACGGGCGGGGTAGCCTTCTCAATTTAAGGATCGGGGAGTTGCCTCTCTTGGAAACTGGGAAGTCAAGGGGGTGGGGTGGCCGCTCTATGAAGCCCGGGGGGGTTAAATTCCATCCTGTACAAGGCTATGAGATGATGCAATGGGCGCGGGATGGCGTGCCTCTATCAAGCGGCTTTTCCCCAAGGTGGTCCCGGCTCCATAATGGAAATGCCCGACTCCTGTTACTGCACGAGGTCCTGCAGTGCATGTTCCGAGGGGGTGGACACGTGAAGGACGTTCTATTGTGCCACATTTCTACTTATCTCAAGCGTTTTTTGAGGAGATTCAAGCATGTAGCGCAGGTTCTGATATGTCTAATGGTGGGGCTCCACTTTTCCTTGTCCGGAAGCCACTTTTCTTCTCATCTGCCAATGCACTCTGCAAGAGGACATGTTGCAATCAGCCTCAATTTTGAATGAGCTTGCCAAGGCATTTCATTTGGCAAGCAACCTGCGTTTGGCCGCGGAAAGTGCATGACCGAAACGGACGCTCGGAATGGAATCAAAGAAAATGAATCGAAGCATACTCCGTAGTTCAGAGCTGGCCGACCGCGGTTTATGCACTTTGGGATCCAATTAATAGAATGAAGACGAGTATGGAAAGTTTGAAGTCTGACGCGGCCTTAGACAGCGGGCCCTCGGGATCCCCCTTGCCATTCTTAGACTTCTGGACGGGCAGGAAGGCTGCGCAGGTGTTGCGGGAGCCAGCGTCAAACCAGGTCTTGAACTTTAGGCCCTTTAGGCTTTCCCCTAGACGTTGGTCCACAGCAAAGCTCTCCAGGTACACATGAACTGCTACGAGAAAGCTGCTTGCACGGCCACACGCGCAGCTGCTTTGCCGTACGACCTGACGGTCAAAGTGATGGAAGCCGCTGGCACGGCGCAGTGGGGATATGTGGGGATGTGATGCTTTTATGATGCCCCGGAACTGTTCGCTGAAGACGCGCGTGCAGGCCGGAGCCGAAGAGGGTGCTTTACCGTTGTCATCTTCATTCCCAGGTGCGTCGGCCTTCAGAACATACCGCTTCTTGCGCTGGTGAACTAATTGAGCCAGGAATGATTGCCGATGCAGAGCATGTCCAGCAGCATCTTGTTCGTGAAGCAGTGGGAGAGGACCCCGGTGTAGATACATGCATGCAGTTTGCACGCCGCTGGTCTGGCAGGCACCTGACTTCCCTACCTAACGCAGGCGAGAAGAAATCTTCGAGTAAAGACATACAAGTTCGGAGAATCTCATGCATCATCTAAGGGAGCTTACTTGCAACAGCATCATCCTCCACATGAGTAGGCCTCAGTGGCACTTTACAGATCCACGTAACCACAGTAGTTGCTTTTTGCGCCCGGAAGTTCAAGTGCACCAAAGCACGTGCGGCACCTGCCTCGTGGTGCGGCAAGGATTTTCTGCGCCACATATGCCACAGGCAAGCTGACAGTTCAGGGCACTCGCGGCATTCACCCTCTCTCAACTCAATTTCTAACATGATGTAGTCTTGATGTATTCTGATATGTTGTGCTGACGGAATGCCCAGCTGGCCTGCCAGGCGATTTGGCCGTCGTGCTGACTTTGTGGGGGCTGTACCAGCGAGTACAGACAGACAGGTTACCCAATCCATACAAAAATCCTTGATTGCTGTAGTGCGAGCATGTGCGAGCTTGCTTCGAGAGACTGCGCATGATCGGTTTGCAAAGCACAGTGCCTGCAGGCATGCACTCACCCTGTCGCATTTGCACGTTCTTCCGCCACTCCTGACCAAACATCCTCCAGGATCAAACGACATAGTGGTCTACACTGTAGAGCCTACACGGGCTTTGCCCCGTCCTGCCAGCAGCGCAGGTGAAGGCAACTGGGATTGTATGAAAATGCCCTTTCCCATTTTTGCTTGGCCCAAGATGATGTTATCTTTCTATGTTCTCTTATCATTTGTCCAGCTTTTGGGCCTAACCGTTTCTGTTATCGTTCTTTTTCCCTCTGATCGCTTTTCCAACTGAAGCACCGCAGTTGGCACTTCACGGCGTGCCAGGACATAATCCTCTGGTGCGGAATTAATTGTGATACAACCCCGGCTGGCAGTCGGCTTCTCGGCTGGGCGGAGCATGTGGACATGATGCGCTGGTGACTGGAGAGGACTGCCCCGGCACGAAGCTCAGTTCTTCACCCCCTTCCTCAGCCCTCACCCATCCGTGCTCCCAGCCTGTCGCAAAAAACTTGCCCTTCGAGTTGTTCACGAGAAATGCTTTATGTGGCAGTGCTACCAGCCGAAATGAAGGAATCAGGCAATGTAAATGCACAAATCAAATGGCCTCTGCGGCAGCGCGTGCTGCTAAGGCCCCGCCCATGGAATGACCGCAAAGAATCAATCCTTTCTCCGGCAACCGCTCCTGGCAGTACACATGGCACTGGTCCAAAAACTGAGGGACTGAGGGGGTGCTTAGCTGCTTGACCGAAGCCTCGATGCAACGAAGGATAGACATCACATCGGGTAACAAGCGCTGCAGTCCTCAAGACAGCTGTGGATGCGCCACGCAGGCCAACCATGCAAAGCAGCGTTTATGTCTGCCATGGCTGCAAATGTTGCTGTGCCCAGTCTCGCAAGCTCTCGTCGAGGCGCTCGTCCACAAGCGCCCCACCATGCCCTCTGAGATCCACTGAAATAATGACATGACCTGCAGCCAGCAAATGAAAGACTCTACTGCTTTTAAAGAATTTTCATGCCAGATCGGCAGCCTTTGAGGCCATCTCGAAGTTTTCGTGCAACCTGCGCCCAAACCAGTCCGACATCTCCAGCACCGTGCAGGCAGAGAACCTCATGTGAGAACGGATCGACCCTTGCGAACTGCATCCCATGCTCAACTTATCCTTCTTGCTCTTTTCGCAATGAACTCCCGGCGTAGGCTATGATAAGCAGCGCCTTTTCTTGTCGCAGCATGGATCCAGAGCCGACGCCCGACCTCGCATCATGCCTCCAGTTGTGAATCCTACTCCACTGCCACCAGTTCGTGCTTGCTCTTTAATTCTGGCTTCAACATTGCATTGCGAACGCTAGTCCCCAGGCTTCCGCCAAAAGCATTTAGCGCATCATCCATGCGCTTCCTCGATTTCCTGGGCATTTGTCAACTTTGGGCTAACAGCGTGGGCTTTCCGGACGTCACGCTGACTAGCTAGGCCTCACCAGCGTGACGAGCCGGCCGAAGTGCTGGGTAGGCAATTTCCTTGTACCGGTCCCAAGTACTTTCGTTTCCTTTTTCTGGAATTGTGCCGTCGGAAAGTCGGAAATTGTACTACAAAGCATGCTGAAATAGCCAGTGTTTGCCCGTAATACGCGGTCACAGGTGCACCTGGCCCCTTGCTTTGCGTCGTACCTGGTAGCCAAGGCCAGGTACGCAGTTTATCGTATAGGCAAAAAGAATTGGATTAACCAAGTTACCCAGGTATTGAGACCGGACGTCCTGGTCCTCGGCTAGTGCACGGATTGTAGGTGAGTCGTCGCACGTGATCCACGTGCTTCCTCACGGCGCTTCCTGTGTATTATAGGCTGGCTGCAAGCCTGCTGCGGCCGATTCGCTTCCTCACGCATGTCCTCGAATCACTTCCCCCTAAGAACCACCCTGCTCCGCCCAGAAAATCTCAAAACCTTGGAACATCCCGGAAGACTACTTTGAGAAGGACCAAGGCTACCTTTGCAAGGGGCCAATTAAGATCCCGCCCAATAACGAATCGGGGGGGTTCTGATAATTTGGGGAGTCTGTAAAAAGGAATAACAAGGAATTAGGGATTGTTCGTCTTTATAACTTATAACTGAACTTAAACTTATGTAAGTTAGGTGTAAATGGATGTTCACTAAACTTCAATGGTTTTCATGACATCTGTAATAGATTGTAGTTGCAGGTGTTAATGACTTTTCTGTTGATGATAATCGGTTTTTGAGCTTCACCAGATTGGGAATTAACTTCAGTTAGATCTGAATTAAATTAGACTTGATTGCCATGTAATTTGAAAAGGTTTCATGAAATGTTGAATGGACTTTATGAGTTTTGAATGGAATTTTTGAGTCGAAGATAATTTTGGAATCTATCTTAATCCAATTTGATCTAACCTTGGGATGAATTTGGTTTTATTCGGTTTGACTACTTAAATTCAATTGTTTGATCTTATCTTTGCTTCGTCTTTCGAATAAGATTTGAAAGGCAAATAGTCATTGGAAATTGTTTTTCTATTTAATCCTTTACAATAATCCCCCCCCCCCGCCCCCGTAAAGAATGAAAGATCCGGCTGGGCTTTTCATTCGGGAAGGGGGAGGAAACGTGTATTGTTATCTCTGCTTTTACCATTTTTCCAGTTCTCGGTGGCCTCTCAGGAAATCTAAGATTCGCATGGCTTTAGCGCCATTGCCGCTAGCACTACAGAAATTTACTGAAACTCGTTGAAGGCACATCCCGCATGCCCACTCCACACTAAAACTACTTCACGTTGCCCAGGACACTGCGAAATTGGGCAGCTCACTGCTCTCAGCTGGTGGATGCCACCTTAAGACCCCATTGGGTCTCAAACGGCGCTCAACCATGGCCGCCTGATGCAGCCATTGCCCATTCTTGACATGGAACGTGAAAACCATCTCAACTTCTCTTGTAACATGCTCCAGTCAGGGCCGTTGGATCTGACATCTAGCATGAAGCCCAGACGCCAGAAGGTTGGCAAGGAAATGCCTGTAGAAAGAGCCAAGCTCACCTTGCCACGAGAATGCAAGGATGTTTTGGACTGCAACATACTTTGACGATTTGAAGACCAGATCATGAGACGCCACATATAAACAACAAACGTGGACTTTGGATTCAAATCTCCTGCCCTCAGCTTCAAAGCCCAAAGGCCGGGCAATGCCACGTTTTATGAGGTCATGCCGTGCGTCTTGGTATTGTGGGCTTTCTGAGAAAATGTTGAGGAAACTTAAAGTTTGCATGCAAAGACCTCTTCCCAGTCAGCGCAGCTGGGAGATTCGTCGTGAACCGGAGCGCAGAGCTTCTGCACACGCCCAACAGCTGGAGCAGCTGGAGGCGGGCAGGCCATACTGAAGCTTTTGCTACTAATCTAGTAAGTCTGGTACAATCAGGTTTGATGATCTCATGATTGTCTTCTTGGACATGTTATGGCCTAGAAAAACCGTAGCACTGAGCCATGCGTGAGCCGAGACTGCCTGTGAAAATGGAACTTTGCATTGCATGTGCAAACAATGGCCGGCTTAACTTAAGAAGCCAACAGCTGACTGACCAGATTTTACTTTCGCCCTCACATGCTCTCAGCACGATCTGTGCAGCATGTGTGCTGGCGCTACTTTTCCGGCGCTCAGTTTGAAATCGCTGCAGCTGGCATAGTCGTCGCGAACTAACCGAGCTTGAAATCCAGCATGCCGCAGAGATCCAGCGCAATAAAGCCAGCAGTGATGATGCTTGTCCGGGAACCTGCCCATGTCGCAGTAGGAGGCTGTTCTCAAGCCGCTCTCCGTCAACTGTTTCCATTTGTAGGGGACCTTGGACTCGACTGCTGGATTCTGCGCGCCCTATTCGAAGAGGTGCACGAAACGGTTGGAAAACTCACAGCCATCCTTAGTCAAGTTGAGGGGTAGCTCTGCAGCCATGGGCTTCAAGCTATATTGAACCCAAAGACTATGAAAAATCATAACCCAACAAGGGCCATACGACCATATGACCCAAACAAAGAGATCTGTACAGATGCTGGCGCTGGTCCCTGAGAAAGGTCAAGCCAATGCTATGTCCAGCAGTGAGTGTACCAATCACAACAAACTATGCTGTATCGAACCAGAAATATCGCGCAAATCAGTGCTCAACAAGCATGGCTCGCGGATGAGACTGTTCATAATTACATGAAGGTTGCCGGCTTTGCACTTTGCATCCAGCTGCCAACCAAAATGCACAGCCGTTGCTGCACCCCGTATGCTTGAGGTCGCATCAGAAGCCTACGAACGTGAGAGGAGGGCGACGAAAGCTGGTACTCTATGCGCGGGGGGGGGGTCCTTAGACCACGCACACTGGCGCAGTCGCTTCTCCTGATTCTGCTTCCCTCCTTGATGGTAAGTGATCACTGGTGCAAAAATATGTGTATCAATGGAGGAATATTGATTGAAGAGCTGCCTTTTCAATCCTATTAAAGCATCCAAATTCCAGCTAGGCTTCATGGACTTTACGGAGTTGTTCCATCGTTTTCCAAAAATGAAACAAGAGAAGGACAGGAAATTCAGGAAATCCTGAATTCTTGCATTTACATTCCTGGACAGAATCTTGACTAGGAAATTCAGGAAATTCCTGATTCTCGTTTACCGCCGTTTGCTGTACTCTTCAGCATGTCCGTTGTCTAGAGCGAAAAACTTCATGGAATCGATGAAAGCTTTTTTCGGCCAAACGCTGTTGTATTCTTCAGCATGTCCGATGTCTAGTGCGAAAACCTTCGTGAAAGCAATGGAAGCTCTTTTCTGCCAGATGTAGGACACCCTAATCTATTATGACTGTTACAATCAGCCCGTACTCTCTTATGACACCCCGTCCTGCTCGATCACTGTCATCAGTACTCTTGCTTGCCCCTTGCAACTTATTTCCAGGATCTCACCCCTCCAGATTTCTCCAATAACAAAGCAAAAATTGCTTGACAAACATCCAGGGAGTGTACAGGAGTGTGGGGCGAGGACCGCGCCCTGCGCAAGTATCGCAGTCTTGGAAATGTCGGACCAGACAGCCCAAAGAAGTCTCGAGGAACCAATGGTTGGTAAACGAACAAGACTCCGCAACTATCATTGCTTACCCCTCATGATGAGACGCATCGCTCCGCTCCCCCTGCCTAAGAATCATAATCACCTTTCCAACTGTTATGTACTATATGGGGTAATATGGAATTCAGCATTATCTGACAGCTATTGGCTATTGCTTTTCGATGAAAATCAAAAGCAACTACTTGCTCACTAAGAATCCCAGGGCATCCCAAATGCCAGATTGGGTTTGTAGATTGCTCCCCAAATGAAGCAGCAGAGTTACTGAGGTTCTCATATGTAGACGGGAGGTCGGCATGCATTTTGAGGTTCAGGCTGCTGTCCAAAGACGACACAGTCGGCACGCAATTGGGGTCTTGTGGTGTTGAATGTCGCGCCATAAGATCTGGGGTCTTTGCTGAGGTGATGATTCCTGCTCCAAACAAGTGCATCAATTGAACAGCAGGAAATTTGGGAAATTCTTAATTCCAGTTGGATTCCTGTGAAACTCTTGTACTTCTTTACATTGCTAGATCAAAGGAAATAGGGTCCTGGGAGCGCATTCCTTGATACAAAGCCTTAGCAACAAAGAGTCCAAGAAATCCCTAACTCTCATTCAAGTTCTGCTACTGCAAAATTTCTAGCCGAAGGCTTTGTCTTTGTCTTTCAAATGTAGTAATTCATACTGCACTATGACGACTCCTTGCCCGTAATTCACGATTTCCGTCACTTTTCTGAGCATTCTTGCCTCTTTAAACATATGTCACATATTTCCACGATTTTACTCTTCCAAACTTCTGCAATGACAAAGCAACTGAACTGTCTGCTGACCTCTTGCCGGATTGTTGTGGGGAGCGGGTTTGCTAGGGGAGCTGGTTTTCAATGAAACAAAGGCTCAAAACGCACACAGTGCTTGATGATGAAATTGTAGAGTGCTCCATTGCTTTCGCACCAACCCGGACAATTCAT